TATGACTGAAAAATTTCATTTTTTCTGAAAAGGTGGTGTCTATTTACTTGTGACCACGCTGTGTACATTCATAATATGTCTACCCTACACCAGTATAGAAAAATCAATCAGTATTTAAGTATACAAAGTAATGTTTTACATTTTATGTTATGGTATTATAAGATGCCTTTGCAGATTTTAAGTCACTGTTTATGATCTTACATTTACCTCCTTGCAATCGGAAACACTACTTTATATATTATGCCAAAATTCGTATGCTACTTTCTACCTTACATAGCAGTTGTAATAAACACATGATTGATCAGGAAATGAAAAAAAATTTTGAAACAGGATAATGGTACTTTTTACTTTAATCATAGTAGGTTGATAACTTGTGTAGAACTAGAAACAGATATGTATCTTCTAGTAAACACACTTTTTGGTTAGAAAATAGTTACTCAATTGAAAACACTTCCAACATAGAATGTTATTTTTTCAATTATAAACTGTATCTAAATAGGATAAACTAGAACAGTACCTTATTCCGTATAACACTTGTACAAACACATGCACAGAAAATATTCAATCAGTTGTTTTGTTTTTAAGTAGAATAGAAATAACCTTTCCACTAAGAAAACGGTCAACCTGTTGATCGCTTTTACAAAAGTGAAATAGTATTTTTAGCCGCGGATGAGCGTCTCATAGAACTGCTCTTAGTTTTTTGTTTGTTTGTTTGTTTGTTGTATTTTTCAAGTGCAAACTTTTGGCTCATAGCTCCATCACCTCTTGACCGATTTGAGATCTAATTTCAATTTTGGACTCCGGAGTATTTGATGTATTTGACCACACCCAAAGACTCATAGATTAATCTATTCTAATCCTGCTTAAAAGAATTTCAATTTAATGGTAGGCTCGTTGGATCCTCACGAGTAATAAAATTAAATCGGGTATACGCGCGCCCCACACTTGGTATTGCTCGCGCACCAAAATATACCTAATAAAAAGTGAAACAAAGGTCCCATAGATTAATTTACACTAATCCTGCCTAAAAGAATTTCAAGTGCCGCAGCTATTGAGGATTCCCTTTTGTTTACCTTAACAGCTGTTACCACTTCTCGATCATAAATTGGTCAAACTTTTGATAACATTTCTGAAAGTAAAATGTTATCTTTTAGCTTCTACCTTAGTAGTCTTTAAACACTATTTGGTCTGAAAGTGGTCAAACCTTTAATAACATTTCTAAAAGTAGAATGTTTTCTTTTAGCGTCTACCTTAGTAGTCTTTAAACACTATTTGGTCTGAAATTGGTCAAACCTTTGATAACATTTATAAAAGTAGAATGTTTTCTTTTAGCGTCTACCTTAGTAGTCTTTAAACACTATTTGGTCTGAAATTGGTCAAACCTTTGATAACATTTATAAAAGTAGAATGTTATCTTTTAGCTTCTACCTTAGTAATCTCTAAACAGTATTTGGCCAGAAAGTGGTCAAACCTTTGATAACATTTCTAAAAGTAGAATGTTATCTTTTAGCTTCTACCTTAGTAGTCTCTAGACACTATTTGGTTTGAAATTGGTCAAACCTTTGATAACATTTCTAAAAGTAGAATGTTATCTTTTAGCTTCTACCTTAGTAGTCTCTAAACACTATTTGGTTTGAAAGTGGTCAAACCTTTCATAACATTTCTGAAAGTAGAATGTTATCTTTTAGCTTCTACCTTAATAGTCTCTAAACACTATTTGGTTTGAAAGTGGTCAAACCTTTCATAACATTTCTGAAAGTAGAATGTTATCTTTTAGCT